CAAATCGTGGACAGAGAAGATGTTTGTTGTTACTCATCCTTGACATCGTTTACGAATCAACCCTACTCGCGATCACGCGCATATGCGATTAGTCGATCGAACGTTGTAGCGTTGCAATTGAAATCATCTCGACAAATCAAGCACGACATTCTACAGTTTACTACAATTTTCTGTCTAGCATAGCATCAATCTACGAGGAAAAGAAACCTTTTGTCCCTACAATAATGCACCATTATTGCGAGATACAATCATCATTGTCAGAACAAGATAATCGAAAGATAAAAGTGTTATTTACTTAAAAACGTAACGATGGACTTCTATTCTATTCAATTAGGAACTTCAATTGAATAAAAATTGTAAGGTCAACCCGTCTATAATTTGAAAACAATGTTGTCCATTTCTGTTCACTGAGGAGACTTTTTTTTTAATACACTTTTCATCATTTGTATTCTATTTCTACTATAATCCTCGAACATTTATATTTCAGTCTCATTCTCATTTTAGTAAAAAAAAAATTGTAATTTTTCGAGAAGATGCTTTGAACATAAAATTGAAATAAGAATTCTTTCAGGTTTTGTTCAAGCTGAAGAAATAATTTCCTCGTGCTGGAAAAATATAATGTGTCGCAAAACTAATTGCTAATTTATCTCTTTCTCTTTCTTTTGCGAAAGAAAAAATAATTAAATATAAATATATATAAACATAATCGAAATTACTGTTAACACCAACATTTCGAATAAACGAGCAAATAAAAGAGAAACGAGCAAGAAATGATAAAGCTTGCACACTTGTAGTTTTTCATCTCCATCAGTCTTCTTTCTCGAGAAGAATAATTGAAATACTTTCACGTTCTAAATATACGTGAGTAAACAACACGAGAAGAAAAGAAATTTGCACCCTCGTACACGGTCTTTGCGATCATTGGGGCGTACGGGAAGGAAATTGAATTATCTTCTTCTTTTTTTTCTCTCTCTCTCTCTCTCTCCAAGTGGAGAGGGCGAGATAAATCCGCGAACGGAAAGATAAACAGAAGGGAAGGAAAATACGGGAAAAGGGGGTGTTAGCGTAAAGTGAAAAGAAAGGAAGAGAAAGTAGTGGAACGGAGAACGAAGAGAAACGCGAGTGCGGGTGCGCAACTGCATGCGTCGCTGCGACGACGCCATAGTACCGCAACCCGCCGTCCATCATCGTCTCGGCGCCACAGTCTTTCTCTCCGTATGTACGGAGCCGGCTGAGGCTGATCGTTCAGCACGTACCTTCCTCCCTTTTCCTTTTTAACGTGCACGTCTACTCTGTTTCGACACACTTCTTTTACAATGGTAAGTGAAACAGCCGAGACGGCGAATGCTGCAAAGCTCGTCGCCGCTTGAAATGTTCCGTTTGCAACTATTGTCGGAAGCACGCGCATTTCCCAATAATATCCGGACGCGAATTCGAATAATTCCCAGATCGACTTCCGTCTCGTTTACTCTCCGAGTTCCCTTCCTTCCCTAACGTTAACTACGAAGTTTCTCCCCTTTGAGTCTGAATTTGAGTTTGAATTGAACACCACATCGTTTCCTTCGTGGTTTCATTGAAAGCCAGTCTTCTTGTACGATTTGAACAAGAATTTCTCACTTTTGACGACTTGGCTTTTTTCATTCCTTTCGGCATTCTGTGCGTGACGGTACGTGCCAACGCGGCCCAAAGAAAACGAAAATTGAAATGGGAAATAACATCGAGGATCTTATTCCGTAACGGAGCTTCTCCGAATCGCCGAGAGATCGCAGCACCTCTCTTGGAATTGTTTTATATCGATGCGGTCAGCTTCGTCG